TCTCTCACCACTTGTGTTTGGCGGTCTTGAGCCACTCCTCCAGCCGGCAAGGCCAATGCCATAGGCGAACGAGGAGGAAATGAGGCCACCAGGCTGGTTAGTGATCAGTTGTCATTAATTCCATTCTCTCCATGCACCTTTTCCAATCTCACTAAGTACCCCATTCCATTCTAGTCTCATACTGCCCTTCATTCCTTCTCGTCCTGTCTCTCCTGCTCATCTCTCCGTGGTCCTGCTCACTGCTGCGTCTCTCGTCTCTCCATACACCTGCTCCTGTATTCTTCTCCTTCTGTCCCCCTTGCTAGTCTCTCCACGCTCCATCTTGCTGCCCTGGTCTCTCTTTCGTCTCTCTCCATCTCCCCCGCATTGGGGGTAGCAGAATGAACATACCAAATTCCTTCCTGATCACTGATCAGGCTCAAGGGCAGAAAATACCACCTAGGGGCGTTTTGTTTCTCCTTAGTCCAATAACTTAGTTAACATCTTAATTAACATCTTAATTCTACTTCTTATTAATATTTTGTATGGACACAGTAAGAGATACATTAAACTTGTAGGGGGGCTCTCCTGAGGACATCTCACTATAGATCTCAGACTACAGTGCTCAGGCCTGATTAATCTTTCCTAACCCTAGCAGGCTCCAAATATAGTTATTACTTTTTGGATCATGACATAATTTGTTGATGACCATGCTCTTAACTTATAGTTACGTATTATGGTGCTTTGGTCTGGCCCATTTCGATGCAAGGATAGCTCAGTGCTTGCCCTGGGTCTATCCAGTCCCTCACTGGACCCTGCTTTTGGGGTTCTAGGAAGTAAGAGCAACTGAGGCTTAAGTTGAGAGAACAGGTGCCAGGAGTGAATTTTATTTGAAGTCAATTAACTCCCAAGTTACAAAAGCATAGTATTAACTGTCTTCTTGTGTCCATACAAAAAGGACATTACTCTGAATTAACTATGCAAAAGACTTATGGGAAGAGAAAAGCAATATTTACAAGTTAACAGAGTCTGTCACTGTCCTCCCGTAGTTCATCGATTTGCTCGAGTGGGCCCAGTAACGTCTCCATTTTGAGACTTGCTGTTACTGTGTTTGGCATATTGAATACGTCACGAGTAGCTTGCCAGGCTTTGCTGCGTGGGCGAGATACTCTCAGTAGCTTGCGGGGCTGTCTGAAAGGGGTGGAGGAATCAAACCTGGCTCCTTTGGGCTGGCTGTGCGCAAGGCAAACGCCCTAACGCTGTGGTATCACTCCAGCCCAACAAAGTCTATTTAGGAGATAAAGGTGATTCACCAGTTGGGGAAGCAGAGAACAATGAAAGAGACAAGTAAACACAGAGGAATGGGAGCACTGTGATGGGAGTAACCCAATAAATCTAAGCTCCCTGTGGCAAGGCAGAAAGGACAAACCAATGTTATCCTACATTCTATCTGATTTTCTTTTATACCTTCTTTAATCTAATTTTGCCTATTTTTCAATTTTGTTGTATATGCCTATGTATCTTGTTATTAAACTATATTCTATTACAGGGTAAGATTTGCAGTAAGTCTTGAACAGTTAGTAGGGACTTGCAAAGCAGAGGGTATAAAGACATAGTTCTAGAAAATAACATCTAGAGCCTGGAAGTAGAATAACCATATTTTGTGATTCAAAGAGATACTTTTAAAATACCATTTTATAAATCTTGTGGCAACATGGATTTTACTTTTATCTCGATGTATCCATTCGGTTTCCAACTTTGAGGAGGAAGTCTTTTTGGCTCTTGATTTCAGCAAAGTAGTCTTGCTAATGGTAGAACTGTAATAAAATTCCACCAAAAGAAGTTCATTTCATAGCTGGTAGGCAATAGATCAACATTTATGGAAATTACTTTCCATTGTCCTTGGTCTAACTGTGGTGATAGAATACAAATTCCTTCATCATTTTCTTTAGATGCTGAAAGTATTAGAATATTTCTTGCAATAATTTGGGACACAGAATAAAAGGAGAATTAGATTATCTTATTCAACCTCCATTTTACTGTTCTTCTACAAAAATTAAAAATTTTATTTTAACCACCATGATTTACAATACTGTCAATGTTATAGTCGATGCATATAACATTCCAGCCCCACATGTTCTGACCCAGAGTGTTCACTTCCCTCTGCCTTTGTCTCGGGGTCCCCCTTTGAACTTCACCTTCCAATTCCCACTCCCCCTGCCATGCTAAACCCAGTTCTATAGAAGCTGAGAACTGGTGTACAGAACTGAGTTGAATATGGGATTGTTCACATTGAATCACATTTTTCCTACAGGTAACTGAGAAGGCAAAATACTTCGTGAAACAAAGTTCCTAGCAGAGTTTTCAAGGATGAATTCTCTATTGCCTAGTACCAATAAATGGTTCTCACAAGAGGACCAAAGGGAATAAAGTAATTATTTTTCTCCTCTTTGTTTAATTTGAATCTTTGTTTAATTTGATGGGGGAATTGCTCCCCAGAGTTTTCTCAATGATTATAAATTTAGAACCCTCACTGATTGCTCAGGAGTTGTAAACAAGTATACTTTGATGTATCTATCTTTCTTGGTTTTGAACTGACAATTCTTCACTTTTCTGGAATGTATCATTAAGCCTCTCTCGGAGATTCTGTCTGCTTCACTTGTGACTTCTAGATAAAAATGAAGAACTTGCCCAACTCATAGCTGAAGGTATTATGTGCTCACCACCTAAGAGGCAGTGGTGGAACAGGAGAATCACCTTCAGCAGTGAGATTTGGTGTGTATATATGTTGAGTGTATTTGTGTGTAAGTGCATATACAGTGTATACAAAGTGTATATATGGTGTTATAGGATAGCTTTGCTATTTGTCATTCTGAAGTCTACGGATATAACCATATGGAATTATGTTTTGGGCTGAGCTTCTAATCCTTTTTTGGCTCTTCTTTCAACCTCCAATGCATTGTTCACTTCCCCATATTTTACCTCAAAGTTGTAATTATATTTATCTCTATCTTCATCTCTAGCTCAAGGGTAAGTGGAGGTCACTATACCTTAACTACAATATAACAGCCTCCTAACAGCATTATTGGTTTGCTATTTTGTGCCTTTGCTTTGTGCTCAAACACAGTAACCAATGTAATATTTAAATTATTTTATTCATAACCTCACTTAAACCTTTCTGTGGGCGCTCAATTGCTCTGAAAATAAGATCAAACCTTTCCATTTTGACAGAAAAACACTTACATAATCTGCCTCATAGCTAATTCTCCAAGCTCAGAGCTTTCCCATGGGGACCATGCCCTGATTCTTTTTTTCTGTTTCTCAACTTTTATAGTCCTGCACTCTCTAAATCCATAACAGAAAGTTCATTTTTTTTACTTTCATGCAGAAGATATTTTAATATTCAAAGTACATTAAAAAATCCTTAAGAGCAGATTATTAACATATAATTTTTACTTAATAATATCAATGAAAATGTGTCTCTCATCCAAAGTTATTTCTAAGAATTAATCCTACAGATATATCTGACGTGAAAATGTCATATAAAGATATTATTAATAAAAATTTGCTATTGTGGCCACTGTCACTGTCACAGTCATCCCGTTGTTCATGAAATTGCTCGAGCAGGCTCCAGTAACGTTTCCTTTTGTCCCTGTCGCATGCTAGTGTAGGCCAATGGCGTATTGAGGGCTCTTTAGGGTCAGGGGAATGAGCACCCTCATTGTTACTGTTTTTGTCATATCGAGTACACCATGGGTAGCTTGCCAGGCTCTGCCGTGCATCATGGACATTAAAAGCCACAAAATTTCCATCAGAGTCAGCATGTTAATTGTGAGCAACTGATTTGTAATGATGACTAGCAACACTGCACATGACTTCTGTGGCAGGAACTGAATAATGCAGGGACTGTTGCAATTAATACCATTTAAGTTGAAAGAACTGCTAGCCTGGAAAAAGTCCCAACATAGATGATGAATGCTATCATGAAGACTATTTTTTCATTTCCTCTTTTTTTTCACTTTTATGTGGACAAACACATGAGTTACTTATTTCAAAAAGAGAGGGAAATGGTACTGTTTGGATGTAAAATAGTTAGAAAATAAAAAATAATTAAGAATTACTGTCATAAATCCTGTCTCATTTCTTTAAATGGGGGAAAAAAGAAAGGGGTGATGAAGGGTGATACTATAACACAAGGACATTTGTGGGGGGTTTCTCTGTACTTTGCTAGTGGTGAAGTGCAGTAGCATTACATGAAAATGATTCATGTTAAGACAAATGCAAATCTGTTACCTAAAACACAATAATAAATATAAATAAATTTAAAGGGAAAGAGTAATTAAAATAAAATATCTAAAAACTCCCCCTACCCAAAAGGAAGAATGGTTGATACATCACAAATGTGGAGAACTGGAAAGAATTAACTTGAAGACTAATCACAATATTACAAAGTATGTTGCTAAATCTTTCACATTTTTGGCTGATCTTTTTGTTTCTACTGCCTTTGCTTGAAGCAATTACAAAGAATGTTTCTACCAAGTCTCCAAATTTTGATAAGTCTCCAAATTTTGATGTGTGGGTGATTCAAAGAATCCAATGAGTTGTTTTTTATACTAAAATACTTGGAAATAGAATATTAGCTAACATTTGGATGAGAGTCATAGGAAAAGTGAAGGAAGATTATAGACTAATAAGTGTCTCAATCACATTAAGTAACTATTTCTAACTTATCTTTGCACTCCAAATCCTAATCTCAGATTTTGATAATGAGCTCTCAATCTACTCATGCTTTGCTTTGAATTTTTCTAATATTTTATAGTTTCTATGACAGAAATTTTTTACTCTAGCTGGACATAGAATATCTTGATGTCAGGCCAAAGCTTGCCACTAGTGAAAGCAAAATATGAGCCATAATGGTTAAAAATAATGACCAGATTTGTCTAAAACCATACCCTTTTCTGTGATAGACTTCTCACCCATCCATAATATTATCTCTCTTTCATACCCATCAATAGAAGACCACTAAGATGGAAAACCAGAGCTGTGCATCTGAGTTCATCCTCTTGGGGCTCCCCAGTTGGAGAGAGAAACAGGACCTATATTATGCTCTTTTCCTGGTCATGTACCTGACCACTGTGCTGGGGAACCTGCTCATCATCTTACTCATCAGGTTGGACTCCCGCCTCCACACCCCCATGTACTTCTTCCTCAGTCACCTGGCTCTCACTGACATCTCTTTCTCTTCAGTGACAGCCCCAAAGATGCTCTTTAATATGCAGACACAGAGCCAATCCATCTCTTATGCTGGGTGCGTTTCTCAGGTATATTTCTTCCTATTTTATGCTGATATAGACAGTTTCCTTCTTACCTCCATGGCCTATGACAGGTACATAGCCATCTGTCAACCCCTCCACTACACCACCATCATGAGTCAGAGTCTGTGTTCCCTGCTAGTAATTCTATCCTGGGTATTATCCTGTGCTAGTGCCTTTTGCCACACCCTCCTCCTGGTCTGTCTCTCCTTCTGTGGAGAAAACACTGTCCCCCACTTCTTCTGTGACCTCTCTGCCTTACTTAAACTATCCAGCTCAGACACCACAGTCAATGAACTGGTTATCCTCACCGTGGGAGTGGCAGTCATCACTATACCATTCATATGCATCTTGGTCTCCTATGGCCGCATTGGGGCCACGATCCTGAAGGTCCCCACCACCAAGGGGATCTATAAAGCCTTTTCCACGTGTGGCTCTCACCTCACTGTAGTATCTCTCTACTATGGATCAATTATTGGCCTCTACTTTTTTCCCTCATCCAATACCTCCAATGAGAAGGATGTTGCTGTTGCTGTAATGTACACTCTGGTCACTCCCATGTTAAACCCCTTTATCTACAGTCTGAGGAATCGCGATATGAAAGGAGCTCTGAGAAATTTGTTAAGTAGAGCAATATTTTCACCACGATGAACATCCTATGCCCTATAACTGCCCATCCTGCACATGTATCAAGAACATTTTTTTGTATGAGTTATTGCTTCATAATGAATCTTGGCATGGCACTCCGGGGATATGTTTGTATTTGTATAGTTTTCTCTGTTACTTTTCTTCTTCTTTATTTTTGTACCATGTGAAAGTTTTATTGCAAATATGTCTTCCATATCGATTAATTTAAAATTGCCTTACAAACGATTCTTCTAAAATGCTTTTGTCCTTTGCTTGTTGTGTTCAATGTCTTACAAACATTTTAATTTTCTCTGTGGTTACAACTTTCCATAAAATGTATTTATTTATTCATTAATTCAGTTGGGTAGCTTTTATTTATTATTTATTTTAGTCAATCACAACCTTTATACCCAGTTTTATTCTTTAAATAACAAAGAATATTTTCTGTAATTTAAAATTTTTATCTTCGTACCTAATTTTGTAGTACATTTGATGTATTTTGTGAATACATAAATTTGAATTAGTTTTACTAATTCTTTTTGTTTTTAAAAACAATCCTACTTTATTTGTCAAGCTATACTCACAGTGATGGTGATAAAATACATTACTTTGTTATTTTCTTATGTTGAGTGTGCTTGGCCACACATTTCACCTATACGGTTTTCATAAGATCCAAGAAAATAGATGTGGTGGGTCTTGGACTGGAGTCTGGTACCGAATTCAAACGTGATTCAATCTCCTGAATGACAGTGGCTAACTGGTCAAAGAGTATGGTTACAGTAAAAATTTTTACTGTAGAAATATTTTTTAATTGAATCACTCTGAGATACAGTTACAAGTATTCATGTTTGAGTTAGAATCATAGAATGATCTAACCCCCATCCCTCCACCAGTGCACATTCTCCACCATCAATGTCCCCTGTATCCCTCCCTCCCCCCGTTTCCAACCCTCCCCCTGCCTCTATGGCAGACAGTTTCCCTCATACTCTCTCTCTCTCCTCTCTCTCTCTCTCTCTCTCTCTCTCTCTCTCTCTCTCTCTCTCTCTCTGGTTCGCAATGCAGATTACAGTAGAAATTTTAAAGTGACTTTCCTAGTGATGAGATAATATTTGGGAGATCCTTCTATTTCCAGGATGAGGTTCAGTGTTTGTTAAGAATGACTATGAAGAATATTTAGAAACCCAGGCAAGATTTACATGTAGTCTGAAGTACATGTAGTAGTTTAAGTATATCTGAATTAAAAACAAAAATGTACTTCTGCCCCTAATACATGCATATAGCATTCTCTGTTTTCCGCTAAAAGAGTTACAAGACACATGATCAATAGAATTTAGAACTGACGTGACTAAGGGAGTGTGAAGGATACAGGACCAGGGAATAAAGGTACAGTGATCTTAAAACTCTGGTGCAAGGATTCATATAGTAAAATTGTAATTTTAAATCAATTATTTTAAAGCTATTGTAAACTATGACACTTCAATAAAAATAAATTTTAATTCCTAGCTGAATTAATAAAATGATGAAGTTTTATCTTCCATTCTTGGGAAATTACCTCTGTTCAAGGAAAAACCTGACTTCAATGTTATATGTCAATGATGTGACAAATATCTCACCGTTATTATTCTATGTTGTCTGATTAAATAGATAAACAGAAAGTTTAATTTATGAGAGAATTTAACTTGGTCAATTCAATAAACTAGAATAATTAAGTGCATTTCATTTTCAAAGTACATGTTTGTGTGAAATCCTAAGTTCTCTAATAATATTTTAACAAATTTAGTAAAATTTTATTCAAGTTTTATAAGTAAAGCATAGAACATATAAAATGTAGTTAGTATAGTTTAAATAAAAGTGTGTGAACAGGGGCCGGAGCAGTGGGTAGGGCATTTGCCTTGCATATGGCTGACCTGGGTTCAATACCCAGGATACCAATACCATATAGTCCCCCAGCATCGCCAGGAGTAATTCCTGAGTACAGAGCCAGGAGTAACCCTGGAGCATCACTAGGTATGACCCAAGAAAAGCAAAAGAAAAGGGGGGGGAGTGTGAATATATTTAAATAATACATTATATGTGTGTGTATATATAATAAAAATGACATATAGTCACACTTCAAAGAAGAGTAAAAATTCACAATCTCTAGATAGTAGAAAACTGAAAGTATTGTTAAGCCCATTTTTTTTCTCTTTCTCAATGGTATAGTTCTTTCCTTTCCTTTTGGAAATATATAGTATCTTTTTAATAATGTAGTTTTTATTACTAATCCACAAGTCTTCAAATTTTTAATGTTAGGGTATATTGATCTTTTCATACTTTTTAACCTACACATACATTCACATACATTAGGAGTCCTAGAAAAGCACAAAGGTAAGAAAAAGAAATCAAAGGTATTCAAATGGGAAAAGTCAAATTACCATTATTTTCGGATGACATGATTATATATATATAAGATCTTAAAAAGTCCAATAAAGAACTCTTATAAACATATAAATGCAGCAAAGTAATCAGCTAAAAATTCAACATGCAAAAATATATTGCATGCCTATATGCAAATAATTATGAGGAAGTTATCAAAGATTCTAACATTCAAAATATGTCTAAAAATATCCAGATTCTAGGAGTTAAAAGAAGTGAGAGACCTATACCATGAAAACTCAAATTCACTTTTGAAAGAGACCGTAGAAAATGAAAAAAATATTCCATGTTTGTATATTGGAGGAATCAATATTGTCAAAATGATCATCCTAACTCAATTATTATATAGATTCAATGCAACTCCTATCCAAATTTCAGTGATATTCTTCAAGGACTTAAAATACTAAATAATAAAGGTTGTATGGAATCACAAAACAACAGAATAGGGACTGGAGAGATAGTACAGTGGGTATGGTGCTTGCTGCCTTGAATGTGTCCAACCTAGGTTCAACCTTGGAACCAAATATGATCCACTGATCCCTACCATGAGTGATCCCTAAGTGCAGAGCCAAGAATGAACCATGAGCACCACTGGGTGTGCCACCCCCATAAAAAAGACCACCCTAGTAGCTAATCCATACTGAAATATAAGATGTTGGGTGATATCTCATATAACTGAAACCATATTATAAAACTATAATAATCAAAATAGCACTAGTACTGGTATAAGGACAGATTCTCATACCAATGGGTTAGAATTGAGTACCAAAGAAAAATCCCCCAATCTGTGATCATATAATTTTCAACAAAGGAACTGGGTACATGAAGTGGAATAAAGATAGCCTCTTTAGCAAGTAGTATTGGGAAAAGTAAAAACCACATGTTAAAAAATGAAGTTAAATTCATGTCTCACACTTTACACAAGTGGATCACAGACCTTGAGATCGGAACAGAATTTATAAAAAAAAAAATACTTGGAAAAACATGGACAGAATACTCCAAGATTTATATCACAAACATGTTTTCAATTACATGATTTCACTGGTAAAGGCAACAGTAGCAAAAATAAATAAATGAATCTACATCAAATTAAAGAGCTTCTTCATGGAAAAGGAAACAAGGGCTAACATTATATGACACCCAGTTGAATGGGAGAGAATATCTGCATTCAGCACACCACAAAAAAATGTTAAATCCCAAGATATATAAACCACTCACAAAGATCAACAACAACAACAAAATCCAAAAATCTTATCAAATATGGGGTGAAAAAGACAGACACTTCTCTGAATGAGACCGACCGAAGGCCAGTAGATACATGTAAAAGTGTATCTTTTCTTATGTTATCAGGGAAATCTAAATCATGATTTAGTTGAAAGTCAGCTATCATCTCACAGCAGTGAGAATGAAATGTATTTTTTAAAAGTGGGAAACAATCTGTGTTGGCAGGGACTTGGTGGAAAAGAAGCACTCATTTATCACTGGTGGAACTGTTGTCTGGCTGAGCCCCGGTGGAAAAGTGTAGAGATTTATCAGAACTGAATAGAGCTTCCATATAACCCAGAAATTCCACTAGCTTCCATCAAGAGTGATGAAGATAGGAAGTAGGGGAGAAGCATGGTAACCCAAGGCAGTGTACCAAAATCTTACATCTAGCAAACTCATTCACAACCAACTCAAATAAAAATCATCCTAAAACTTCCTGTATTGTCATACTAAATCTAATTATTCTGTAATATTAACGGAACTGGCAGCATAACATACTTACCCTAAAAATAATACATTCTTAAAAGTAAAATCTCTGGAAACAGTTAAGTTGCTCATTTCCTGAATTTTCTAAAACTTTGAGATCAATGAAGTGATAAACAAGAACATCTGTAAGTAATATACTAAATAAAAATTTAAAATATAGGGACTTGGAGAGAGTTTCAGAGGTTAGGGTGTGTACTTAGCCCTTGCCTGGCCCAACTTCAATCCCCTCTGGGATTCTAGAATCTCTGGATGTGACCCCGGATGTGTATTCAAAAAATAAATTACAAAAGGGCTGCAGTGGGTTTCTCTCATGCCACCTTTGATCAGTGGTCTTGAGCTGCTTCCCCTACCCTGCAGAGGCTGATGACTGAGTAGACAAAATACCGAAGGAGGGCTCAGCTGGTTGGTATCAATTGTAGTTTATTCCAATCTCATCTCCATTATCCTCTGATTCTCCTTCTACTTCTGCTCCTTCCCTGATCCCGCTCATCCTCCTCTTAGATCCTGTTCCTTTATACTTCTCCTTCCTACTTCTGCCTCCCCCAATTCTCCCCCTATATTCTACTTCAATCTCCTTCTGGCTCCCCCAGCCCACCTCTACGGCCTAGTTAAATCCCAAAACATGAGAGGTTGGGGTAAAAATTACACATAGGTGTGGTCATACAGTCAACAGAGCTAAAGTCCTTCCCTCAGGAGAAGCTTCTTCTAGGACAGATTCTCATTCAGCAGGACGACCGGCCCAAGAGTGGATTTCCCTGGGTGTATTTCTCCTCTCCTTGTCCAACAAACATATAAACATACATAATATTAATCATTTTGTATAGATACAGTAAGAGATACATTAAGCTTATAGGTTTGCTCTTCTGGGGCCATCTCACTAGAGATCTCAGACTACAGTGCTCAGGCCAGATTAGTCTTTCCTAACCCTATCAGGGTCCTAATCTCATCATTATTTTTTAGATCATGACAGAATTTGTCCATGACCATGCTCTTAAATTACAGTTAAGTATTGTGGCACTTTGGCCTGGCTCATTTCAATGCCAAGGTAGCTCACAGCTTGCCCTGGATCCATTCAGTTCCTTGTCGGGATCCTCCTTTCTGGGGTGCTAGGAATTCAGGGCAACTGAGGGCTAAGTCGAGAAAGAAGATGACCAGAAATGAATACTATTTGGAGTCAATTAACTCCCAAGTTAAAAAATATTAACTGTTTCCTGTGTCTATACAAACAGGACATTGCTTTGAAGTAAACCATCCAAAAAATGTAAGGAAAGGAGAAAGACAATATTTAACTTATAATACAAGTTCAGTGTCCTTAGAAGTATCTGATTTTACAAGTTAACAGAGTCTGATAAGGGGGAAAGGTAATAGACCGGTTGGGGAGGAGAGCACAGAGAAGAGTTCACAGATAAACATAGAGGAATGGAAGTGATGCGGGAGCACTGTGATGGGTATAACCTGATAAACCTCAGCTCCCTGTGTCAAAGGAGAAAGGAAAAATCAATGTTATCCTAAACTGTTTAGAGCTATATTCCAGCACCTGAGCACTGATGTGGGGATTCTGGTAGTCTCCTACACCACAGGGCCTGAGTAACACTGCAGTGCTAAGCCCTGGCTTAGGTGTCCAACCAGCCTCCTAAGCATGACTAGGGAAGACACATTCATTTTTTTAAAAAATCATAAGGTAAAGGTAAAGGCCCTCCTGTTGATCGTCGATTTGCTCGAGCGGACCCAGTAACGTCTCCATTGGAGACTTTGTTGTTACTGTGTTTGGCATATCGAATACTCTCGGTAGCTTGCCGGGCTCTCCGAGAGGGGCAGAGGAATCGAACTCGGGTTGGCCATGTTGGCCGCTTGTAAGGCAAACGCCCTACCACTGTGCTATCGCTCCAGCCCATAAAAAATCATAATTTTTTTATTCATAGGAATTTTTTCTGCCTAATAAAATGATGACTCTGCATCCCATATTCATGTTATTATCTCATCACTATTAAAAATGAACTCTTTTAAATGTTTCTCTCCCCAGGATCTCAGGAATGAATCTTGAACATTCCCACAGTGTTTCACAACATGTACACATGCACAGCAAAAGAGGCATATTTTCTCTTTAAAAAAATTAATTATTAATTTTAATTTATTTTTTTATTGAATCACCATGAGATAGTTACAAAGATTTCATGTTTGAGTTTCAGTTATACAATGATCCAACACCCATCCCTCCACCATGCGCATTTTTCACCACCAATATCCACAGTATTTGCCCCCATCACAACCTCCCTTACCTCTATGGCAGACAACTTTCCCCATTCTATCATTCTATCACTCTACTTTTGGGCATTATGGTTTGCAATGGTTTGTAATATAGATAGTGAGAAGCTAGCACGGTTGCTCCTTTATCTACTTTCAGCACACATCTCCCATCCCGAACAATCCCTCCAACCATGATTGACTTAGTGATCCCTTCTCTATTCCAGCTGCCTTCTCCCCAACTTTATGAGGCAGATTTTTATATATGGAGCAGTATTCCTGGCCCTTGTGTCTACTGTCCTTGGGTGTCAGTCTCATATTATGTTCTTTTATATTTAGAGGCGGGCTGGAGCGATAGCATAGCGGGTAGGGTGTTTGCCTTGCACACGGCTGACCTGGGTTTGATTCCTCTGCCCCCCTTGGAGAGCCCGGCAAGCTACTGAGAGTATTCCACCCACACAGCAAAACCTGGCAAGCTACCCATGATGTATTTTATATGCCAAAAACAGTAACAACAAGTCTCACAATGGAGATGCTACTGGTGGCCACTCGAGCAAATTGATGAATAATGGGAGGACAGTACAGTGACAGTGATATTAAGAGGCACATTCTCAATCAAAATGCCCTCATTTGTTCAATAGAGTAGACAAAGCGCTTATTAGACAACTGCTGCCATATCTGGGGGAAAGAGTTCTGTGAATTTCCCCTGATGATTAAAAAATGAATAATGTTAATTTGAAAGATTTCAGCTTAAAGTCTAAAATAATTGGTTACAAAAAATTATGAGTTGGAGCCCAAAATGTAATATCCATTGAATAGCTTTCCCTATAGCTTAATATATATCAGGAATTCTTTCTAAAGCCCCAAGCTCACAGCAATATGAAGCAATATCACATATCTTCAAAGATTAATTCTCTATGGCTTCCACACAACTAGTTCTCTAAGGGAACCAGAGGAAGTAAAATGATTATTCCCACAGCCTGTGTCTAATTTGGAGTCAGAATGGAGACTTGTCCCCCAGGGTTTTGTCTTCATGACACTAAAGTTAGAGACCACACTGATTGTTCAGAAGTTATAAACAAGTGTATGTTAATAAATCTATCTTATTTGGTTTTGAGCTGACACTGCTCCCTATTCCAAAGCATCTTCAAGACTCTTAGGTGCTCCATCAAATTCACTGTACTCTCAAGACAAATGAAAGAATTCCCTGAGCCTCAGAACTGAAGGTACAATATATTGCCTTAAACTGGAGGAAAAATGTTTTTTTTATGTTAACCTGGTATATAGAATTTCAATATAATAGCTGTTAGGTTAAAATTCACATAAAGACTTGTCTAAAATTATGTTCTGTTACGTGATAGATTTCTCATTCTTTCAGATTATAATCTATTTATCTCTCCAGGAAATGAGAAGACCATGAGATGGACAATCAGAGCTGTGCATCTGAGTTCATCCTCTTGGGGCACCCCAGCTGGACAGAGAAACAGGACCTATATTATGCCCTTTTCCTGACCATGTACCTGACCACTGTGCTGGGCAATCTGCTCATCATCCTGCTCATCAGACTCGACTCCCGCCTCCATACCCCCATGTACTTCTTTCTCAGTCACCTGGCTCTCACTGATGTCTCTTTCTCTTCAGTGACAGCCCCAAAGATGCTCTTTAATATGCAGACACAGAGCCAATCCATCTCCTATGCGGGGTGTGTTTCCCAGATGTATTTCTTTATATTTTATGCTGATGTAGACAGTTTCCTTCTCACCTCCATGGCCTATGACAGGTATGTGGCCATCTGTCACCCCCTCCACTACACCACCATCATGAGTCAGAACCTGTGTTTCCTGCTGGTCACTGTGTCCTGGGTACTATCCTGTGCTAGTGCCCTTTCTCATACCCTGCTTCTCATCCGGCTCTCTTTCTGTGGAGACAACGTTGTCCCCCACTTCTTCTGTGACCTCTCTGCCTTACTTAAGCTGTCCAGCTCAGACACCACAGCCAATGATCTGGCTGTCTTCACTGTCGGTACACCTGTGATCACCGTACCGTTCATATGCATCCTGGTCTCGTATGGCCGCATTGGGGCCACCATCCTGAAGGCCCCCTCTGTAAAGGGAATATTCAAAGCCTTTTCCACATGTGGGTCACACCTCACTGTAGTTTCTCTTTATTATGGATCAATTATTGCACTGTACTTTTTTCCCTCATCCAATGACTCTAATAACAAGGATGTCATAGTGACTATATTGTACACCCTTGTTACTCCCATGTTGAACCCTTTTATCTACAGTCTGAGGAATCGAGATATGAAAGGAGCACTAAGAAATATATTCAGTAGAGCGATATTTCCACCACAATGAGAATTTTATTTACTATAACTTTATATAAGGTCTATGTCTTCCTGCACAAACAACAGGAAGACTATTTCTTTCCTGAACTGTTCCCTAGTAAAACCTAGTATGGAAATCTTTCATCAGTTTATGCTTTAGTTTTCATGTGGTCTTTATTTAGTTTTCTTTATTGTGTAATAAAAAATGCTTCTTAAATATATACATTTCAGTGAACTGGAGAGTTAGTATAATGAGTAGGGCATTTGCCTTGCACGAGGCATGAGGCTGTCTTGATCTTCAGCATCCCATATGGTGCTCCCAGCTCTGCCAACTGCCAGGAGTAACCCCTGAGCATTGTGTATATGTCCAATGAATCTTTCTAAGTTTTTTCCCTTCACATTGTTTCTTTGACCTAAAATCTTTTTAATTTTGTATATAGTCACAATTTTCCATTACATGTATATGTATTTTGTTGGGAAGTTTATTATCTAATTATTTATTTTAGTTAACTGGTATTTATCTTCCCAAGCTTTTCCTTTTCAAAACATCAACAATACTTTCCTATAGTTCGGTGTGGTGGCATTTGGAGGGTTTGTTACCCAGGTATATTCATAGTGATGGTGATAGGATCCATTATTTTTTCTTAATTTGAGTGGGCTTGGCTAAGCATTGAATTGATACAATTTACGTAATAATTCCCAGGATGGGGCTGGAACAATAGTACAGTGGGTAGGCCATTTGCCTTGCATGCGGCTGACCTGGATTTGATTTCAAGCGTCCCATATGGTCCCCTGAGCACTGCCAGGAGTGATTCTTGAGTGCAAAGCCAGGAGTAACCCCTGAGCATCGCCAGGTGTGACCAAAAAAAAAAAAAAAGCAAAAAAAAAGTCCCAGGAGTCACCTTGGCAACTGCTTGACACATCATGAATAATTTCAGATTAAAAATTATTTCACTGAGAATTGTGAAGAACTATTTAATTGTCATTTGATCTATGATGTGGCAATTTTGTAATTTTGTTTGTAATTTTGCAGGATTGAGGGAAGGCAGAATTGTGCCACACCCAGCAGTGCTCAGAGTTTACCCTTGACTCTGTGCTCAAGGATCATTCTTGTAAGGCTCAATGGATCATATGAAAGGCAGTATCAAACCTAGGTCGGCAGCATGCAAGGCAAATGACTTATTCACTGTACAATTGCTCTGGCACTGTGTATGTAATTGTTTCTCCTCCCACTCAGGAAGCTTTTGGAACCTGCTCAATAATCCCAATATGCTAAAATTGCTTGAGGAAGTGCTATGGTATGTGTGGGGGGTGATTCATCATGTTGACTTTCTATGTGAATTTTCAACTTCATACATTTTTTAATTTGTGGAAATAAAATATAAGTCCCAGGATAATGAAATTGTAGGACTGGTGCAGACAACTGGTGGTGAACTCAAATTCTTTTGGGTCCCTTTGTGTCTGAGGAAGGCTATATGGTTCAGATAACAGACTAAAAGATGAAATTTTAGTCACCTTCCAATTGTGATGCACCTTTGTGTCTGAGGAAGGCTTAATGGTACAGGGATTGAGGTGAGAAATGGGATTTTAAAGTTACTTTCCAAGTGTGATGCAATTGATGGTGATTATTCCTTTCTTAAAAGGGGGTTCAGCCTTTCAAGGTGTGAGGTTATATTCATGGGAATTAGGAAGAAATAATATCAAGAATTTCAGGTAAAAATTCAGGATAGTTTAGATTTATTAACACAAAAATATATACTTCTGCACATGCTACATGAATATAGAATCTTATGTCTCTCTCTTCAGCTCTTGGGAGACTATCTCTGCTCAAGGAAAACACAAAAAATGTCATTATCATATGACAATAATGTGACAAATACATCCCTCTTATTATTATTTTTAACCTAATTAATTGTTTAAGAAAAGGAAGATCATTTTCATAAAGGCAATTTAAATTTTCCTATCCCCTAAACTAGCAATATACAGTGAATGTGGTACTCAAAGTACATATATACGTGAGATAAAATCCTTAATTTGTTAAGTAACAAATATTTTACAAACCTTAGAAGTAATTTTATATTTAGTGAAGAGTTTATTCAAATTCTGGTAAATATTGAAAAATTTCTAAACAATATAGGTAATATTAAGAACATATTTTATAAAAGTTTGTGAATACATATAGATAAATAATATGCTAATGTATAATATATAATATATTTAACATAGTCACACTTTAAAGAATAAAAGCAAAATTTCTCATTCATAATCCTTAGGGTGAACTAGTATAAAACAAATACTATTGCTACGTCCCCCTTTACCCTCCTCATCAGCATCTTCGTCTCTTCTTGGAAGTATGCAGTCTCTTTAAGTTATGTTTAATATTTTCAGCACGCATACTTTTCTTTAAAGTTTTAAAAAGAGAAATACTGGTGTATATTGATCTTCCCATTTTTTTCTCTGCTTGTTATCTAGCATTTTTTTTTGTGAAATTTATCCATGTTAGGGTTTGGAGTGATAGTACAGTGGTTAGGGTGTTTGCCTTGCACGCAGCCAGCCCGGGATCAATTCCCTGAATTCCATATGTTCCCCTGAGCACCACCAGTAGTAATTCCTTTGTGCAGAGCCAGGAGTAACCCCTAAGCCTTGCTGGGTGTGACCCAAAAAGAAAAAAAAGAAAAGAAATTTATCCAGTTATACAAGACAACTTTCCATGGTTGATTTTTGTTTTTCAGTGGTTTACTTTTATGAGCAATGTTTCTTAGACACATTCTTAGTCATCATCTAATCTATTGACATATGAAAAAGATCTTGAATTGTATACACAGAAGAATAATTACTGATTTGTATGTATGTGTACATTGAGCTTAAATTTTACTGCTAAACTCTCTCTAATAGTCTTATGAAGACAATTTGAAAAGTCTGCAAATACCTAGTATGTGATATTTTGAAAAAACATACTGCAGAGACAGCAGAGGAATCATTGGTTGCCAGGGTTCAGATATAAAGGTTGAGAGAAATAAATAAAGCAAAGGAAAATTTGGGGGCCAATAAAACTATTTTGTATAATCTTATAACTATAGAAACATATCTGTATCACTGTCTGTAGCACTGTCCTCCAGTTATTCATTGATTTGCTCGAGCAGGCCCAGTAACGTCTCCGTTGTGAGACTTGTTACTGTGTTTTGTTTGGCATATCAAATACATCACGGGTAGCTTGCCAGGCTTTGCCATGCAGGTGATATACTTTTTGTAGCTTGCTGGGCTCTCCAAGAGGGGCAGAGGAATCGAACCCAGGTCGCCCACTACAGCACAGCAGCTAGGCATTTGCCTTGCATGTGGCCGACATAGCCAACCTGAGTTCGATTCCTCCGCCCCTGATCTAAATCACTGTATCACTGTATCCCTGTCATCCCATTGCTCATCGATTTACTCAGCGGACACCAGTAACGTCTCCATTGTGAGAGTTGTTACTATTTTTGGCATATCGAAAATGCCTTGGGTAGCTTGCCAGGCTCTGCCATGCAGGCGTGATACTCTCGGAGAGCCCGACAGTAATGGAGGAATCAAACCTGGGTAAGCCATATGCAAGGCAAATGCCCTAACTGCTGTGCTATCACTCCAGCCCACTCCCACTCCCGACTGGGGGAGGTAGTGACAAAAAATAACAATAGAGGACTCTTTCAAGGCCCTGTAATTGGAATGAGTCCACTTTAAATCTTTTAATGAGGATTCATTAGGGGCCAAGTCTGGTGCCAGCAGCAGTGGTAATTCCAGCTCCAATAGTGTATATTAAAGTTGCTGCAGTTAAAAAGCTCATAGCTGTATCTTGGGAGCCGGTGGGCAGTTCGCTGAGAGGTGAGCCACCGCACATCCCTGCCCCTAACCTCTCAATGCTCTTAGCTGAGCATCCTGTCGAACTGTTTACTTTGAAAAAATTAGAGTGTTCAAAGCAGGTCCAAGCCGCCCTTGATATTGCAGATAGGAGTAATGGAACAGGACCGCGGTTCAAATTTGTTGGTTTTCAGAACTGAGGCCATGATTAAAAGGAACAGCCGGGGGCATTCATATTGTGCCCCTAGAGATGAAATTCTTGGACCAGTGCAAGATGGACCAGAGCAAAAGCGTTTGCCATGAATGTTTTCATTAATCAAGAACGAAAGTCAGAGGTCGGAAGACAATCAGATGCCATCGTAGTTCCAACCATAAATGAAGCCAACTGGTGATGCGGCAGCGTTATTTCCATGACTTGCCGAGCAGCTTCTGGGAAACCAAAGCGTTTGGATTCCGTGGGGAGTATGGTTGCAAAATTGAAACTTTAAAGGAATTGAGCCTATGGCTTAATTTGATTCAACATGGGAAACCTCATCCAGACCGGATATGAACAGGATTGACAGAATGTTAGCTCTTTCTTGATTCCGTGGTTGGCAGTGCATGGCTGTTCTTAGTTGGTGGAGTGATTTGTTTGATTAATTCCAATAACGAACAAGACTCTGTCATGCCAACTGATCTAAATATTTTAGCTAAATACTTTGTGGCCCTGGTGCCTCCTACCAGTGACAGCCCTAAAGTCAGAGAAGTTCACAAAATTTCCTCTAGGGCAAGCTGTTAAAAGTCCAGACTTTTTTTTTTCAATTTCTGAACCCTGTGCCAAGGGTTTTTTCTTAATGAGTCACCGTGAGATACAGTTACAGACTTATAAACTTTCTTGACTATGTTTCAGTCGTACAATGTTCGACTACCCATCCCTCTAGCAGTGCCCATTCTCCACCACCAGTTTTCCCAGGGTCCCTCTCACCACTCCCACCACATCCCCACCCCCTGCCTCTGTGGCAGGCACATTCCCTCTTACTCCCATTCTCCTTTTGGGTGTTACAGTTTGAAATACAGAAACTAAGTGGCCTTCATGTTTGGTCCATAGTCTACTTTCAGCACACATCTCCCATCCTGAGTGATCCCTCCAAGCATCATTTACTTGGTGGTCCCTTCTCTATCCCAGATGCCTTTTCTCCCCAGCATGTGAGGCCAATTCTAAGTCATGGAGCTCTTAATCAAGTTCAGAGTGCGTTAAAAATAAAAGGTCTTCAGTAAACAACTAATACCAATTACTCGTAATATGAAAAACTACCTTGATTTTTTTTCCACCCTTGAGACCATTTTTTCAAATCTGACAACAAAGTAAATAGTTTTCTGTACTTTCCAGGATGTTTCTGTGATTTTCTTTTGCTCCCACATATCTTTCTTAACATTATTCTTGACTGTGCTGTACTTCTTAGTGCATATATGACTACTGTAAATAAATCTAAGTCACACTTTCTGTGTAACCATTAGTACTTGCAGACAATAAATTTTATTTTAGCTTTCAAAAAATGAATAAGAGACTTATGGGGTACAGACAAACTACCAAAATTCCTACTAAGACTTTCCCTTTGTCAACTGGATCATGAAGGTAGCCCACCAGCCACACAGTAGACTCTGCAGGAGTAAAATTTAGGATTTGTCAATCCCTTAATCCAGCAACCATTATTCCACTCCCTGAGGAAATCTTTAAAAAGTAAAGATCACATGTGCATAGATATAAGACAAGTCTACAAAACCCGGTCTAGTTTAAGAGATACCCTCTTGGATAATCCAGAGGACACTTGCTTTACTGGAAAGTAGCCTAGTTGATGAAGAAATTCTGAAAGCTACATATGCTATTGTGAGTCTGACCAGTCAGAGGAAGCTGAAACCTAGCTTGGGATAACATCAATCCCAGAAAGAAGAAGAAATTGCTCTCACTCCAGCCTCCCAATTAGTTAAAGGACTTGGAATAAAGAACCCTATATGGACTCTAAATATGCTTTCTTAGTCTTCCATGTTCATGCAGCATTATCAAAGGACAAGGGATATCTAAAAACTGAAAATAGTCCTCTAAGGCTGGAGAAAAAATTTCAGAGCTGTTGAAAGCAATGCAGGCCCCCCAAAAAATAGCAGTTATGTACTGCAAGGGCCATCAAAAAAGGAGATATTGAAACAATTAAAGGACATAGCCAAGCAGATGCTATAGCTAAGAAAACCTCATCTAATTCCTGTTTAATTATGGGACTTAAATTTTATATCCAGAGCAGATTTCAACTGAGCCAAGATACTCTGAAGAACAGGAACAATGGGCATTGCAACAGGTTTTCAAACAGCTCTCCTTGGGTAGTATCAGTTCTGTTGTTTGAGTCCGGGGGTCTGTGTTCATTAGACATTCTCTATTCCCTCACTTTGTTTCTTCATATACTACCTATGATTTATTTCATTGGCCCTCTGTCATTATCCCTCTGATATAGGGTACCTCCCAAAATTTGCACCTGAGGAAAACTTTACATGTTTTTCTCATATCTTATTCAAGTCACTCCATGATAACCAGCACCTTCCTTTTTAAAAACTATGCTTAATTTGTATATATGTAACTGAGAAAACTGAGGTTTCTTTAAAAATAACTTAAAGTTTAAATATATCAAAACACTATTGGTGAACTTCTCTGGGTAACTTAAACAGATGTTGATAAACCCAGGGACTCTTGAAAGGTGAGAACACTTATGAATCATCCAGTAACCAGAGTTGCTACACATACTTAGTTGTCAGAGACTTTGAATTATTCCAGATAAATGTCTCATACAAAATGTCCATATTCAAAGCCTCAAGAATACCCCTGCAAAAAAAATACATCCCTAACTGCCAAATATGTAGTTGAAAATTTTCTAATTATTCTCCTGATATTTCACACACTATATATACATATATTATTATATTCTTTTAAATATTTTATTTTTATACATTAATTGCTAAAATATTCATAGAATATCTCAAGTACATCATTGTATCACTGTCATCCCATTGTTCATCAAATTACTCAAGCGGACGCCTCCCAGCCCTGAGATTTTAGCAGCCTCTTCTTATTTGTATTTTCCCAAAGATTGGAGGCTCTTTCAGGGTCAGAGGAATGAGATCTGTTGTCGTTACTGTATTTGGCATATCAAATACATCACTAGGAGCTGGCCAGGCTCTGCCCCGGTAAGCGGGAAACTCTCCGTAGCTTGCTGGGCTCTCCGAGTGGCATATATGGGTAGGAAGTGTTTTATAATGTGTCGCAGCCTGAAGCATGGCAGTGGTTGGGCAGTGGAGGTCGGCTGCCAGGGCTGGGTCCCTTGGGGTGGGTCTCAAGTACATAAAAACAAAAAAATAATAAATTGATGGCCAATATATTTTTGCAACACAATTTTAATTTATATCTGTTTTAGAAAGCTTCAGGCTCAAAATTAGTATTTTGGCCTCCATTATAAGCAAATTTTTAGGAATATCTAGAATATACTTATAACCATTTTAGATGACTGAAATAAAAACACCTTTGAGGCGCTTCTCAATTCTCTATAGAATTTACCTCTGGCTCTCATGTGACAGATTTTATAGTGTGAATACAGCCAGTAATGTGCTGCTTTCCTCCTCAAGCTCATTTCTACAAATGCTATTGCATTTTTACTTCTAATGTCAAAAAACTGATTCTAGTAGTCAAGGCAAATCTTTGGACAAAGTTTTTTAAATCTTCTAGAGTGATGGGTAGCACTGCAACACTGTCATCCCATTGTCATCCCACTGTCATCGATTTGCTAGAGTGGGCACCAGTAACGTCTTCATTGTGAGACTTGTTACTGATTTGGGCATATTGAATACACCACGGGTAGCTTGCCAGGCTCTACTGTGCAAGCAGGATACTCTCGGTAGCTTGCAGGGCTCTCTGAGAGAGACGGAGCAATCAAACCCAGATCAGCCGCATGCAAGGCAAACACCCTACCCACTGTGCTATCGCTGTTGGGTATTAATCTATAATTAGCCATTTACAAATATACTTGTTTGTCCAATCTCCTATCACAAAATAGTGAATGAAAAATTCATGAAAAATGGAGAAACTCATTAATAGAAAAGCTCCAGAGACAATTAGACAATTTTATCTTAAGTGGATGCAAACTATATCTTTTTCTTTTTTAATATCTTTAATATTGAATAATATTGTTTATGTACTTCAGAAAAATCATGATACACACACACATATATATATATTTATGTACATATATGTATATATATATCCTGGTGAATTCTTGTCTCTTTCCCAAAAAGATTTTAAAAAGAAAATGTAAGAGAGAAGAAACTGCCACCTGGGGAAAAAAAGCAGAGGAAGCAGAGAGGGTGGGCAGTAATGTGAAATCTTTTCCCCAAATTTTATGCTTACAAATTCATTCCTGATCCAACTCAAATTATGAATTCTCCTGAAACTTCTAATTTGGACTTAAAGCTAGCTCTTATACTTACATGTTAACAGGATAGCAGAGTAAGGATCCTATTTTAAACCTACCGTAACACTGATTTTTGCTTTTCCCTCCATCTCTCCCTTCATGGCATTTTTGTTCCTATAGTCTAGGGTCAAGTGTTTGCCCACTTTTGATACTGTCCATTCCCTTATCATGTTATTCTTTATAACATGGATTAGTTAAAACATCAGTTTTTATCTTTGTCTTTCTGACTTACATCACTTAACACAAGATCCTCCATTTCCATCCAAGTTACAATAAATTTCATGATTTCATCCTTACTTGTGACTGCATGGTATTCCATTGTGTATATATTGTGTATTTAAATTTAATTTTATTACTATTGAGGTAGCCCGGAAAGCTACAGAGAGTATCCCACCCTCATGGCAGAGCCTGGCAAGCACCCTGTGGCATATTCAATATGCCAAAAAAGTAACAAGAAGTCTCACAATGGAGATGTTACTAGTGCCCACTTGAGCAAATCGATGAACAATGGGAGGACAGTTCTACAGTGCTACTAATGAGGTAAAAAGACTTATAACTGATTTTATAGTATTTGTTTTTGTTTAGGCACTGTGATTTACGAAGTTGCTGACAATGTTATTGTGTATATATATCTTTATTCGCTCATCTGCCATTGGAAATCTGGGTTGGTCCCATGTTCTGATTATTGTAAACTACAGTGACCATATTTACAT